GTGTGTTCTATTATGCCAGCCTCCAGCATCTCTTCAATTGCACTGTCGGCAGCTGCTTGATGTGCCAAGGGGAGGCAGCGGGGGTGTGTCTTAATGGACCATGCGTCACCAGTGTCTATTTCATGCTGCACTCCCATATTTCTCTTACTGCCCACGAAGGGTCCCCACCAAATTGGATGTCGGCCTGTGTGGTTTCGGGGCCTGTGTGGGGTGTACCATTTCAACTGTCGGGCCCTCTGGAAAGGCCAGCGTGTTCTTCCCCAGGTCTAACACACAGTGAGCAGCCCGCAGAAAATCCAGTCCCAATATGCAGGGGTCCTGCACTGCTGCAACCCACACCCTAAAGTTCAAGGATAGGCCCCCCACCTGGATAGTTATCACCGCCTTACCCAGCATAGGGGTCAGCACACCAGTCACCGTTCGCAGTTGTACCCCAGTGGGCTCCATTTGTGTCCCAGCCGGAACCACATCAGGCCTCATCAGTGTTGCTGTGGAGCCCGTATCAACCAAAGCAATGCAAGGGGCCCCACCCAGGGTGATGTGGACATGGCAAAAATCACCCAGGTTCGTCCAGCCCACCACTCTTACAGCCTCCACAATGTCATCTACTTCTGGGGGGAGCAGAGCCCCGCTCCCCCAGCCTGACAGTGGGGCTCCATCCCTAGGAAGCAAGGAAGGGTGGGGTGGCCCGATAAGCCGGAGGCTAAGGCTAATGGCAGGCGTAACTCCGGTGTTTTACTTCTGACACCAAATGTAGCGTCCCGCAGGACACAAGGAAGACAACCTTGACGACAAATAGTCACCCAGGTGCGTCCAGCCCACCACTCTTACAGCCTCTGCGATGTCATCTACTTCTGGGGGGAGCGGAGCCCCGCTCCCCCAGCCTGACAGTGGGGCTCCATCCCTGGGCAGCAAGGAAGGGTGGGACGTGGGAAAAGGGGCCTGCTTCGTCCCAGTTACACAGACCCCGGAGCGTTTCCCTGCCCACCAACCTGCTTTGGGCACCTCACGCTAATGTGACCAGCCAGGCCACACACCCAGCACACCGGAGGGCCACGGCGAGGACGGGTGTTGCTGCGTGGAGATTGCAGCGACACCGCCCTAATCAGTTCAGTCAGTTCAACAGCCCACGCCGGTTTCTCGTGGTCCGGCCCCTCTGGCATTACAGTCCTCACAACATGATGGCCTCCAGCTAGATCACTCGCAGCAGCCGCTCCCACAGCCTCTCTCTCCATCGCCATCTCCAGGGCCTCTTGCAGGGTACAGGGGTGCGCCAGCTGCGTCTGAATCCGCAGCTGACTAGGGGTTATAGCCCGGATGAACTGATCTCTGGCCAGCTCGCTCTGCACCTCATCCGGCATGTGAGCATATGCTCTCCTGGTCAGGGTCTCAATGTCATTAGCCAGTGCACGAAGTGGCTCACCATCACGCCTCTGCCTGTTTGCCAGCTCTGAACGCAGAACACTGGGCCGGTTACATTGTCCAAAACGTCGCTGGAGGGCCCCAACTAGAGCCCCATAGTCACCTCTTTCAGCCAGGCTAATCAGCAGCAAGCATGTTAAAGCTTCATCAGTAAGACACATGGCCAGCTGAAGTGCTTTAACGTCCTCTGACCAGCCACCTGATCGAGCCAACAATTCGAATTGTGCATGGAAAGCTTCCCAGTCAGCTTTACCATTATATTTCGGCGTCTTCACCTGGGGCTGGTTACACAGAGCGCCGCCATTGGGCCCCGTTTTTCCAAAACCAGCATCTGCAGCTAGGCCCCTGGCCATCTGTTTCAGGCGGGCTACGTATTCTGGAGACTGGTCAAACCCTCTCTCATGCCCCGGCGTCGCCGCATAACCACCATCCTGCAGTTCCTCCATCACGCACACCCCAGCCTGGCTCCTCACCCGTCGCGCTGCCATCCAGTTAGGTGTTTATCAAGGCCCGATAAGCCAGAGGCTAAGGCTAATGGCAGGTGTAACTCCGGCGTTTCACTTATGACACCAAATGTAGTGTCCCGCAGGACCCAAGGAAGACAACCTTGAGTGCTGACAAATAGTTGCTTTTTTATTAACTCCACACAACCGGTTACTGTTGGCCGTAACCACGCCAAAACAACAGCCCAACAACAATAAGAAAAAGAAACAACCTGCTAACACCCTCTGTAGCTGAAATCCCCCTCACACTTCTCTCCCTCCCGCTCCACACCCATCAAGGAACCATAACAATTTAGAACATCATAACATGCCAAGTCAAGGATCACTACAATACAATATGCTGTTGAAGATTCAAGCAGTGGTTCCTCACTTTTTGCATTGGGACTCCTTACAAAGGGATAGGTTAATCTTGTTGCAGTGCCATGTTCAAATGTCTGTTTTCCCCTCTAACCTTTTCAGATGGTTTCTTTTTCTGTCTGTGCAGATTCTCAGCCATCCAGGTCATAGTAAGCTGAAAAAAAAAAAAAATTAGAAAAAAATCCAACAAATTAATATAGACTGAATTTGTATATTACTTTGTTGTTGTTTTTTTCCTCCTCCTTCCTCTTCTTTTCTTTTCCATTAATCATCTCAGGATCCCCTGTGACAATTTGGAAGGGCTAAATCCCTAGTGTGGGGATCACTGGACTAAACCTGCTAACTGTACAAAAAGTAATTATTTAGTAGTTAAATTTAGTAGCATGTTTAAGGATGGTAGGCTACTTTTACACTGTTGTATTGCTTGAGACTTGTACATTAGAAAGAATGAAAAAATACGTTCTTTATTGAATAAAAGTACCAGCACAACAATAAAACAAAAATACTCCTAGTTTTTCTAGTAAGTAAAAGTTTATTATTTAAAAACCTATGCAAAGAACACAAGTAATTATCAAAAGTAAAAGTACTCCCTGTTGCAGAAAAATGGTCCCTGTGAATGAGCCTCTTCTAGTGGGTTGCATAATAAATCCGGGGGGGTTCTGTGATTATTAATGGCATATTTAAAAATGAAAAAACAAAGTTATGCTATGCATGTTTGTTTCGTTTCATTAGAGTTTTTGTTTTTGATTTTTCTCCAGTCAATATGAGAAAATTTCTTTGGGCTATAAGTAGTTATTAGATTTTGTGACCAAATTAAAGGTTTCATTTCACTGCAAATATTTTACCAGATTTTACCAGTAAGGCTACTTAGTTTTAATTTCAGTATACCAAAATCTGTGACCCTGCACATTCTGTGATGCTAGCAGATTAACTATGAAAAAAAGTCTTAAGGGTAGATCAGGTTATTCTTATACGCAACAAAGGTCATTGGTGTGAGCCTGCCCTCCATGGAGGACCTGTACACCACACGGGTCAAAAGGTGGGCAGAGAGGATCACTGCAGACCCCTCACACCCTGGACACAATCTGTTTGACTGGACGGCGTTACAGGTCACTGTGCACCAAGACAACCAGGCACAGGGACAGTTTCTTCCCCCAGGCTGTCACCCCGATGAACACTTAACCAACAACAGTATGACTGGACAATAACCCTCAGTGCAATACCTGTAAATATACCTCGTACAGATTATACAGACTCGTACAGGTCTCTAGTTCTTAAATACTTTGTTTTATCCCTATTTACCTCATTTCAATGAACATTCTTTTGTTGTCTGCATTGTTTACTGTCCAGTTATACTGCTTTTTCTGCATTGTTTGCACTGTTTGTTGGTGTTAATACTGCTATTTTGTTATATTACACAGCCTTATGCTGGTTTACTGTTTGCACATTGAGAGCCGATGTACCAGAATCAAATTCCTCGTGTGTCTGTCACACCTGGCCAATAAAGCTGATTCTGAACATTTTCTGCTATCACACCTAACTTTTCATATATCTGTGACATCAGTTTATTTTGTAGTTTTGGCAGCTGATCGAGTTTGGTCAAATGTTTGCTGCGCTGCAGTAAACATACAGTGGGTACGGAAAGTATTCAGACCCCCTTAAATTTTTCACTCTTTGTTATATTGCAGCCATATGCTAAAATCATTTAAGTTCATTTTTTCCTCAATGTACACACAGCACCCCATATTGACAGAAAAACACAGAATTTTTGACATTTTTGCAGATTTATTAAAAAAGAAAAACTGAAATATCACATGGTCATAAGTATTCAGACCCTTTGCTCAGTATTTAGTAGAAGCACCCTTT